TTAAATTAGGTAAGCTCATTGTTTGGCATTCCCCATGATTTCTTTTAAAACTGTACTGGTACAGTTTAGAGTATTATTAAATGCTTTCAAATTATTGATCTCCTTTTTATTTTAATCATTCAATGAGCTTGTGAATTAATCTTCTTTTAATTTTTAACTTTTAACAGAGAACAAGCAGTAACATCATAGGAGCAGGCCTTTAGCAGTCTTGCCCTTAAAGAAGGAAAATCAGTATATTCCATTCTGGCTCCCCCAGTTAGCATAAATATTTTGGGGACCCAACTTTTGCAACTAAAACTATCATATGAATTGATAAAAACATTAAGATCTAATAAATAAGCAAAGACAAGACTGAGACCATTCAAAGAAGACACTAGGACTATTACATAACAAAAAAATTAAACCTATTATGAATAATAAAATATCCTACCTTAGTTATAATAGGAAGGAAGAAACCAGAAATTTCATGTATTTCTGGTGGCAGTAAAACTTAGAATAATCCTTATAAAAAATCAGTGTGTCTAATATTCTTTTTCTGTGATTTCACCTTAGGAAATTTATACAGGCAGTCTTCAAGTTACAAACATCTGACTTATGAACAGAGGCTATTATAGTAAATGTATCTGTTCCAACCTACATACAAAGTCAACTTAAGAACATCGCTACAGAGCCTCATTCACAACCTACGGATCATCTCCATCAAGAAAATGATCTCAAAGAAGGAAAAACTCTTCATAGTTTATTTGGATTAATGTAGAAAGCTTGCAAATAATTTGGTTCCCATTCTTGTCCTCCATCCCATCATGATCAATTTGCAGTGTGGCAATGGGCATGACCTTCTCTGCCCACCATCCTCCACGGCTACTAATTTGTCAGGGCAAAAGGCCAAGTCCTTACCGTGGTCCACAGGCCGTCGATCTCCCTGCTTTCTCTGGGCCTCATCTCTGCTGCCCATCCCCCTTCCTTCCACCCCACACACTCTCCTGCCCTGGCACCTTGGTTCTTGGGGGGTTTTGCCTCAGTGCTCTTCCCTCAGACCCAGGTGGGGTTGCTCTTGCTTTTCTTCACCGCTTTTCTGGGCTGTCCTCTTCCCAGTGAGGCCTGCCCGACCTACTCAATTCAGAATTCCAACACACTATCCCTACCCTTGAACCCAACCTGGATTCCCAATCCTCCTCTACTCTGTTCTTTCTCTTTCACATATTATATAAATTCTGCATTGTGTTTATGATCTGTCCTCCCCATAAAAAACACAAATATCACAAGAGCAGTGATCCCATCTGTTTTGTCCGAATGTATCCTAAAAAGTTAGAATACTACCTGGCACTTACCTAAAGGCAGCCAGTAAATAACTGTTGAACAAAATTTCAAACAGCATAAATGAAGATGCATGTCTAAAAACAGATTTTAGTAATTAAAATCATAGTTACACCATGGCTTCTGGACTAGTCCCCCTGCACTTTCTGCCTGACCAATCCTTTGCCACTGTTATTTAAAAAGCAGGAGAGTGCTCTATCTTCCTAGTGGGTATTCTGAATTGAGGGGAGAACTCATTTCCTCTTAGGGTGAAGTTCGGTCCTTTTGGCGTTGTGGCACTCAGAATGTGACTGACAGAAGCATGGCTGGACCTGGCAGGAAGAGAGCTCAATAAATACTTCTTGAGTGAAGGGAAGAACAGATGATGCCTTCTTTCCCAGATGCTCTGGGCTCTTAGCTCCTTTCATAAACAGGAATAATCTGAGAAGTAGAGTTTAGTCTCAAGAGGTCAACCACAGAAACCCTCATCTGTGGCTAGGGCTCACACGTTTTACAAAGCTCTTCTATCTTCTGTAGGCACCATTATCCCCGCTAATCCCTCTCAGGGAAGGTGGGAGCCTTCACTGTTCCGACTCCTCCAAAGCTGTCACATCAGAGGCAGAGGCTTGTTTCTCACTAAGTCTCAGGAAGACGTGAGCCCAGGTGTGGGGCTGGTCAGGAGTCCAACCACTATGGGTTCAGCTACTTTATGTAACGGAGTTGATAACTTAGAAATCAGAAACCAAGTTATTCTCATCGGGTATAGTGAATTTACTTATTTTAAACCAAAACACTACAGAGGAAGACACCTGATTTTCTTTCTCCTCTTCTTAGGGGTAATCTCTAATAGAATGTTAACACTGAACAATTCCCAATATGATCTAGAAAGACAGTCTCCAACCTTTTTGGCACCAGGGACCAGTTTCATGGAAGATAATTTTTCCATGGATCAGGAGGGGAGGGTGAGATAGGAACCAGAACTCAGATGACCATGCAAGTGATGGGGAATGCTATAAATACAGAGTAAGCTTCACTGGCTCACCGCCACTCACCTCCTAGTGTGTGACCTGGTTCCTAACAGGCCATGGATCGAAACCTTTTTGGCACCAGGGACCAGTTCATGGAAGATGATTTTTCCATGGATGGTGGTGAGAAGGAGGGAAAGGAACGGAAGGGATGGAAGGGACAGGAAGTAAAGTTCAGGTGGTGATGCTGTGTGGACTTGGGGGCCACAGATCTAGAATATGGGGTTTAAAACTATGTGTAAGACTCATGAGGGGAGTGGAAAAATGACGGAAATGCCAGGAATCTGTACTTTAGGGAAGCATTTTCCGAGATTCTGATGCAAGTGTTGCATAGAATCTATAGACAAACACTTATATACACCTTGGACAGAATGTAGAAAGGAGGAGGAAAACAACAGAAGGCAACTAGAATTTAAAAATTTGACTTACCACGTGATAACAAGATAGTGTAATAAGTAAAGATAAGTGAGTCGTGGCAAGACATACCTTGACCTCTGGCAAGGCAATGATCCCCCTCTGGGAACAAACCATGCTGTTATTCATGCGTACAGGAACTGCTGAAAATGTATGTCATATGCAAAAGGAATCTGTCTCTATACGTGAAACAAATGAAGCTCCTAAGAATTTCGGATATTTGTAATTATAACAAGTTTGAGAAAAATGATTCTTGGATAGCCTGTCCCCTGTGATTTTCCACACCCATGGGAACAGGCTGTGGGTATTATCTAAAATCCCATCCAAGGGTAAATTTTGGTTCCTCGTTTGTTTTATGTAGTTTTAACACCCTATCTTTTCCCACTAGTTTTCCTTTCCAAGTATTTAGTATGAAGTCACTGTCACTAGTTTAAGAATGTTAAAAATATAATTTAAAAAAAAGGTCTACTCAATTTAGTTGTTAGCTAGTCTAAAAGACAATCTGAAAAAATCATGAAATAGCTACTTAATGAAATGTAATCATCACCATAACAACCATGTTGATTACATAGCAACATGGAAAGAGGCTTACAATAGAATAAAAAAAAGAAAAATTAAATTTCAAAGTTACATCCTTCCTAAGATTATAATTCTGTAAAATCACACACTATGAAGACAACTGTGACTGACTGGAGTACTGTAGAGAATCGAGTGACCTCTCCAGCAAGGAGGACTGACCAGGCAGCGTCTGCATCCTCCTCACTGCCAGGGGGGCAGCCGAATGCGAGGCGTGAGCCACCCCACGAGAGGATGGCCCTTGGCTTCTTTCTTCTAGCTCCCAGGGACTCATATGCCACATGCCACAAGTATATAATTCATCCCTTAACGATTCCACTTTATTTTTTACAACAACTACAATAATAGTTGTTCTTTGTCTTATTTTTACAATTAAAAAAATCAATACAACAATAAAATCAAGAGCAATCTATACTTTCCTTACACTCTACGTTGTCCCTCAAAGAGGTTTACGTGTTCTCAAAGACAATTCAAGAAAACACTGCTATTCACCCCAGGCAAATGATTTAACTCTCTGTGACTATTTTCTTACCTATAAAATAGGGGTGGCTCTGAGCTTTGCCTATATCACAAAACTGTACGTGAGAAGCTATATGAATAGAGAGGTGAAAAAACCACAGAGTCATAGGTTCTAAGTAAGGCTCTGTGGTCACCTCTCTAGGTCACTTACTAGCTGTGTGACCTTGAGAAGTTATAGAACTTCTCAGAGCTTCAAGTAGGAAGTGGGCAGTCTCTACCTCATAGGGCACATACATATGTAATATTTAAAATACTGCCTGATATACAGTAGGTACTCAATAAACAGGAATTATTATAGCAGCGCTTTGTGGAGTCCAAAGCACAGTAGTACATGCAATGTGCTAATGATGATAATACAAAGAGAAAGGAAGGAAAAGTCACAGCACTGGGAGGGGTGTGTAAGGGGTGTCTGCAGGAGAGAGCAGCACGGCCTGGCTGGAGGATGGGTCTCTTGGGGAAATGAGGGTCTGAATTTTTATTGCTAGGACTATGGTAAACTATTGAAGGCATTCTGAGAAAAATACAAGATAGGATCTATGCTTTTGAAAATCAGTTTGGAAATGTGGAGGATGGAGAAAAGCCAGAGGTAGAACCACCACTCGGTTAGCTAAAAGGCGAGAAAACATGACCCTGAACTCAGCAGTGGGGATGAGGAGAAGAGACAGGAAGCTGTCACAAGAGTCCAAGGAAACAAGGAAAAAAACAGCACAGTTGGGGATAAAATAACAAGGACCACAGTAAGGAAACCTTCGATCATCTTTGTGAGTCAAGAGGGGTTCAATGTGATTTCAAGGCTTCAAGTGGAAGACCAGGAGAATGTTAATCCCACTGCTCAGAAACAAGGAAGGAGAAACATATGTGTAAAGAGAGATGAGTTCCGGCTTGGACAAGAGGGATCAAAGGCATTTAAAGAGATGTCCTATGGGCAGAGCTGGAAGAGAGAGACCTGGGCTTCCTGTGCAGATTTAGGAGTCATCACCACAAAGATGAGAACTGAAACTAAAGGGACTGGCAAGGGTCAAAATGAGTTAAGGACCTCCAAAACAGTAAATTTCAGGGAAGAGCTTTAATAAAGGCACCAGATTTGCATAGGAACCAATAAGGGAGGGAAGAGTTTGACTAAATAAACCCGGTATCAGCAATGAACCTGAAAATGGTACCACAGGATTATAATACTGAGAACAGTCTAAATTTTATTAACTTAATAAATTTATAATTTTTACATTTAAACTATAGACATAAAAGCTAATAAAATCATTGGGGTCCCTCAGACATAGAAATTAGAACTTATTTAAAACTCAATGCTTCTAAATTTCTGCTACGAAACGAAACCAAATCCTTTCCTTTTATATCAGTAAATATCCAAAGAAGACTAATTCAAAAATTTTAGTATTTATTTATATATTTCATTTCTCAAAAAGTTTGAAAAAAGGAAGTTTTCACAGGAAGTCAGCAAATGCTCATAGACCTCACTATCTCTGCACTAGGGGAAAAGGAAGACTTGGAGTCCTTGGAGTTTAAAATCTTGATGGCAGAATTTCAAATGCTCCCATCACTTGCCAAGGAAGTGCCACACTTGCTCTGCGTTTAAAATGGGGAAAGAAGGGTGTTGGGGAAGGGGTAAAGAGGAAGAGGGAGGGAGGGATAAGACAAATTTGATTTAGACCTTTAGGAAGTATGCAGACAGATAAAAACAGTCACAAGCTTAGTACATCACATTTCTCTACTTAATGCTACTTTCCTTTAAACGTCTATCTTAAGCTCTCTTATTTGGCTCAAGCTTTATATAAAGCTACATTAAAAGTTCCAGAGCCTTCCTACTCTATTTATCTTTCTGGGTCATTTTAGCTTCTAAAGAACAATACATAAGTTACTACCCTAGCTACCGCATGAAGGTTGAGAAAAACCTTGTATTGTAAAAAATCTGACTATGAAATACCGAAAATGGGACAGTACTATAAAGAAGCAATCTGTTCACTTACCATATAAGGAATATAATAGCTTGCTTTCCCATGAAATCATGTCTATAGATTTACTCCTTTCTAAAAATCTTATAACTTGACTCATAGTCAATAATGCTCATTTTGAATATTCTTCTATACATGTGTTACATATTTTGAAAGGTAATTGATATATTCACATGCTTATATTTTGAAGTTTATACCACAGAACATTTTTGGTTCTTAAAACAGCTTCAAATAATGGCAATAAAAATATTTAAATTATATGTAATCCTATTATAATATTAATTTTCATTTTAAAATCTTCAGCTAAAATGAGTAATTCATTAAAATAAGATAATATCTCCCAGATTCAAATATGTTAAGTCTATTTAAATTTATCGGAACTGGCTGGAATCTCTCAGTACTTCACATACACAAGTCACTACACAATCAAGCCATTTTCGAGCCTAAAAGTAATAAATGTTCTCCTCCACAGTTTTTGAAATTAGGAAACAAGATATTTCACCTGAAAATTTAAATGAGTATTAAAAATATACTTTACTTAGTTTTACTGCATTTCTATAATTAATCTATTTTATTACTTTTAGTTTCCACTACTGCAAACGAATACATGTATTTCTCTCTTTATGAACCAAAATATACTATACCTTCTTTATTACTTTCTTGATTCAGTGAAAATGATACCTGAAAAGAACAGAGAAAGAATCCCTGTTAAGATAAATATTTGTAAATGGAAACTGCATCCAGAAATTTTTTTTCATGGAATTACAGATCAAAGTTTACACACGATGGTTCTCTAACCTGAAAAGAGTAAATATTCTTCCTCGTGTTCTCTTACCACTGCTCACTCTTTCAGAGGAAACAAACCACACACATAGAGTCAAATAAATAAAGCATGCTTGGAAATCCTTTCTATCATTAACTCATGGGAACCACTGAAGGTCTTGGAGTTAAGAATGTGAGGAGAGGTTTTCTTTCAGTTACTTCCAGGGCTGACGTCTTGACAACAAAAATAAAACATACTTAAACACACATGAACACACACACAGACACAGACACACATTATATAATTTATCTGTTTTCTAGAACTTTTAAATATTTCTGTTTATTTTGATGGCTGGGCCAAGATTCTTAGAACATATGTAATATAATTTACAGTAGACAAATTCGAAGAGAAGTTTCTGATATATATTTTTCTCTAATTTAGAACAATATATTTTCTTGTAAACCAACATTTTCGTGGGATATCCATTATCCATACAGAAGAAGGCATAAAGCCTATGTAGTCTCAGGAATCATTAAAATGAAGACACCAACCAAGTCAAGACATGGAACATGCAGGTCCTTCTCCAACTACAAACTCTTCCTTTGTACAGATAACCCCTAGCCCCTAACTTTATTACAAACTTTTCAGATTTCAAATTTAATGATCAACTTCGAATTCTATGAATTTGCTTACTTCAACAGGAAAGACCTGCCTCTAACATTTGAGAGGTCTAGAGCCGAGGAACAAGTAGAAGGCCTCATGCCATACAGTTCAGCATTTAAAAGTTACAATAAATCAAGTTAACGAAGTGATGAATATCTATTAAAAATGTTCCACCCTATTGTTTTGATAAATATACCTTGGTAATGACCTGGAAGCTCTCACTGAGGTCTCCAGACACCTGGGAGTCACATGTTGAACGTGGCAGAGAGAGAACAAGAGGCAGATGGCCTTCCTTCATGCTGGCCACTCCTCTCTGTAGTACTACCTCAGGCTCCAGTCTGCACTGCAAAGTCTTCATTTGCACCTGGGTAGAAATCCCAGCCTGCACATCTATATACCCTCTACCTTAAGACAGCCATGCACTGGCCCCTGCAGAAGTAATAGTGGGGACATGGCCACAGAGTCAGGAGCGTGGACCTGAGGATATGTGTGCCAAGTTTCCACACAGGCCTAGAGACAGACTCAAAGCTATCTGGGCAAAGAACTCCAGGGTCTTGGGTAGACAGAAATGGTCTGGAATGGAGGCATGGCTCCTGGGGAGTCCATAACTTTGGTCTTCCTACCCTCTGGAGAGGGATGTGACTAGATAAGGGCCAAAGTAGAACCCTCTAAAAGCAGGATTGGAGGGCTTGCCTGGCTTAGATCTAAGGGTGGCAAGGAATAGGGATCACCCAGCAAGAAGAAAAATCCACATCCTGCCATATTAAACTATTCCCTTGATAGTTAATGCTTGGGTCAACTTGGAGGCTGTTTTCACAGGCGGTTACCATTTAAACAGGTGCGCTCTGCACAGAGCAGAATGCCCTCTATAGAGCTGGTGGGCCTCATCCAATCAGATGAGGCTTAAATAGAACAAAAAGACCTGCCTCTCCCAAACTAGAGGGAAGTCATAGCGGACAGCTTGAGGATTTCATCGGCATAACTGGCTCCGCCAGGTCTCTAGGCTGCCGGCCTCCACACTGCACCTGCATCATCTGCTGGCACAAAGGCAAATTTTGGACTTGCTAAGCCTCCATAATCACACGCCCCAATTTCTTATAATAAATCTCTTTACATGTATACATATCTAATGGGTTCTGTTTCTCTGGCAGACTCAGATACATTCTCCCAAATCACAAATAGTTGACAGTTATTTTTCCTTCTACCTTGTTTTAAGAATAAGCTGACTAAAGAAGACTTTGTTTTATTTACTTTATGTCTAAGAAAAGGATGATGTAATCATGTAAATAAAAAAGACTCCTTTATAATTTTTCTTAAAAACTTCCTTGGGTTTTTCCAAGTACTTCAAAAAAAGAAGAAAAATTCTATTCAGCTTCTTCACGTGGAAAAAGTGCTTAACCCTGGTTGGTTTTAAGAATAGCAAGACTTAACTCTGGGTGTGACAGTAACACTACAACATAGAAATTATACATATTGAGATTAGGCATTTGGCCTTTGATAGCTCTTTTTTCCTAAATAGACTATAAAACAGACTAACTTGCTTATTCTTTGAAATTGTTACACATGTACAATTGTGCAGGACATTTTTTATACAAAGTTTGTTGGAAAACTAGTTGTTTAGATTTCCTGTTTAAAATCAGCAGCTGCTTTTTGCTGGAGCTGCCAAACATTTCAGAGGAAAACAAATGGATTGTGCCTAAAAATAGAATAATTGAGCAACTTCTCATTAACCTAAAAAGCAGTACAGAAAAGAAATATAAAAGCTACTCTATCTAAAATATTTATTACTACAATTTACCTAAAAAATGATACCCAGAATAGTTTTATTTCTTCTTTTTAAAAATATATTTCTTGACTAGTCAAATATATACAAACACACAAAGCCTTTTATTAATAAAAAAGGAAACATCATGGATAAGTCTGACACTCAGAGATAATGACAAAGTTTAAAGTAATTTTTTAAAGACATTTCCACATTAAACAGGACATTGTCATTTAAATTTGAAAACAATAATAAGAATGGGTTCATGATAAACATCAACTATTTAACTGTTTACCTGCTGTCAATTATTTTCTGATTCCTAAACATAATGACAGCTGTAACGCTCGCTTATATTACAGGGAGTGGTACCTCGATCCCAGCTCTCCACTCTCAGTGGTCACTATCATTACATTTCCATTGTAAGAAACTGAGAAAGGGCTTTCAGTTACCTATTTCTTTTAATTTCATAATAGGTAAAGAATATGGGTACCCTTTACTCATCTGAGATAAATTCTGCACACACGGATGAGTACTATTTTCTACTCTCTAAAGATGCTCTCATCCTCTTCCCCATCTCAACAATACTTCTCATGAATCTTTCTAATTTTGTTCAAAAAAATCCAGTGTTCTCATTACCACAGTATTTCTTTTATCAACCAAAGAAATCTTACTCTTGCCTCTGTCTCTATTCATATATAAACAGTAATTTAATTTTTATTATTTTTTTTTATAGAGTCTCACTCTGTTGCCCTGGGTAGGGTGCTGTGACATCACAGCCCACAGCAACCTCAAACTCTTAGGCTCAAGTGATCGATCCTCTTGCCTCAGCTCCCAAGTAGCTGATGGGGTCTTCCTGTTGCTCAGGCTGGTCTTGAACTCCTGAACTCAAATGATCCACCTGCCTTGGCCTCCCAGAGTGCTAGGATTACAGGTGTGAGCCACCGAGCCTGGCCTATAAACCGTATTTGAAACTAACATGAACTATTAAAACAGCTGCTCTGTATTTAAAGTGTCTCTCCTTCAAATAACTCCACAGGTCCCTATGAGTATTTTCATCTATAGTTTACATTTGTTCAAAGCAGGGGTCCCCAAACTTTTTAAACAGGGGCCAGTTCACTGTCCCTCAGACCGCTGGAGGGACAGACTTTGGGCCCCGGGATGAGTCTGCTGCTAAGCAGGACAGGCAGTGGCAGCAAAAACACCGGGCAGGCCAGATAAATGTTGTAGGCGGGCTGCATGTGGCCCGCGGGGCATAGTTCGAGGACACCTGGTTCAAAGTAACAAACATGACACATTAAAACAATCTAAACCATCCTGCTTTACTAGACAACATGAGGATTAACAGTCTGTGATTCTACTCCAAACAGAGGTCTGGAATCCTTTAGCAATAAGTGTGACTCACTCCTCAGTCCTACATGGCTGAGTCTGTACGTGGCTCATAAAGTTCAATCATTTATTCAATAAAATGACTACAGTTAACAAATAGTAGAAAATCTCACAAATGATCTAATTTAAACTTTTCCCAATTTTGCTTAATGTCTAAACTTTTGGAAATCTGACAACTATAAAATTATATTTTGTCTTATTTTTATGTCACTAATTGCGATTAAGATAAAGCAAATTTTCACAACTGGTTGTTTTAAGTTTCCTCTTTTGTGAGTTGTCTAGTCACACCATTCGCCTTTTTCCCACTGGGTTATCTTTTTCTTCTTTATTTGAATAAGTTTATCATTTCAGATGACAGTCCTTTTGTCATTTATGTGCAAATCTTCCAACAAATGGCTCATCTTGTAACTTATTTTATGATACCTTTAACCACGTGCAGTTTTTATTTCTTTTACATAAATTTATTAATCCTTTCTAGGTTATTTTTAACCTTCATAAACACTTTAGAAATAATCCTATCAAGTTCAGTGAAAACTCCCACTGGGATTCTGATGAAAAAATGATTTGACTTTATTAATTAACGTGAGAGACATTACTATCTTCATGATTAAATATTCTTTTAAACTGATATGAGTCTACCTGGGTTTTCTATTTCTTCTTGATTTAATATTTGTAATTTATATTTTAAGCAAAACTGTCAAGCTATCTGTGTTTAGAAAGGTATTGCCAAAAGCACCGCATAGTATCCTGTCTATTTAAATATAGCCATAGTTACAGCCTCACTGTAATTCTTGGCATTTTATTTGTGCCTGCTGTATTTATTTCATCATCCCTTTGTCATAGGTCTACATTATTAGTGTTAAAAAAAGAAAACCTAGATTTTGTTTTACTTGGACTTCTGCCATTATTTGTTTTCTACTTCATTAAATATTTGCTCTATTTTATAATTTTCTTTCTATCATAAAAAGACAAAAACAATCCCTGAATAATTGTTGGGTTGAATGTTTAATTTTCTTTCTACATTTCTGCTGTACTGTATATATTTAATGTCTCTTGAGAACTATTTTTGCTGCACTGCTCAAGTTTTGACTAAATACTCTGATTTAGTTATCATTCCATTTAAAATATTTTAGTCTTTTATAATTCACTGGTGGTTTGACTTGCTTATAAGCATTTTAAAATTTCCAAATGCATGAATTAGTGTTTTTACCTTTCAGCATTTTCATATTGATTATATTACAGATATATAATAGACAGATATAATGGACAGATAATGTGATCTGTATAATGACAACACTTTGGCATTTTTTGCAACTATTTGCAGCTTAATAGCTACACAATTTTTGAAAACGTCCACAAATACTTGAAAAATTATGTATTGTTTTAATTATATAGTATTGATTATCTTACTCTTATAAATTTGATTTCAATCTTCTCAACATATTTTCAAAATAATATTTACGTACAACACAGGGTCCTAAAAGTAGCATCTTAAACCAAGTACTCAAATCAAGTATCTTGAAAGAATATCAACTAATATTGGCAAAATATAGCCTTTCAGATACACAGGCTTTGTCTTCTATAAATTGTTCTAAACTCTGTTCCCTGAAATAAAGCTGCTGGTCATAAAATTCTCCAGTTTTTGGAAAGAACCTCAATTGTTTGGCTCTAAAATTAGGCAAAGATTTAAAAACTTCACAAAAATATGTATTGAAGTAGTCCTGTAGTTGAAACGTTACAGAATATTAGTCCTATTCCCAGTGCATATCTTGGACAATCAGAGCCCTTTCCTCTCATGGATCCCTAGTGTGTTGGGATCGAATGAACACAATTTGTTTTTGACACAATCATACTTTTCATTATTGCACACAATTCAAACATCTATATTCATAATCCAAACTCAAGAATCATTCTGATCATTTCAATTTTCCTTTTGAAATCTCCTCTAGATCTAGCCTTCTTAAGATCTCTAACCTAAGTACAATAAATGGTTTCTGTAGGCATTTTTTGTTTTTTGTTTCTAAAAGGATTCCTAATAATACTCATTAATCTGTTGGCTTGTATTTTGCTTTTCTTGGATATAGTGATTGAATTTTTTCTCATTGATCTGTACATATTTTTTGATAACTACTTAATATTTTTGCTCTCAATACTATACTTAATTAGGTTCTGATCTGCAGTATATGCTTCCTACAGCAGTTCTATTGCCACTCAAAAGTTTAGTCCATTTCTTTTCTTGGTGTATTTTAAAAGTAGCCACTTACCAAAAGTTACCCTATTCTAAAATTGCAAATTTGGGGTTTTATAATTTGTTTCCACACAAGCCCAGGACTTGATAAGGTCAGAATCTGATCAAGTTTGATGGATGAATTCAATGTCTTCAGTTATTCTGAGCAACCAAAGGACAAACCAAAACTGGTAGTACTTTGAAGACAGTGTAATATATAGCAAAATACAGAGACCCGAAAATGTTCATGTACATGAACAGAATGAGCCAAACATTTCAGTGTGCTTCCAAAGAAAGGAAATACCAAGTCACAATGTTTTTACTGTAAGGACTTTCATTATTACAAGGTGATAAACTCTTTATGAGAAAGTGTTAACTAATATGGACTGTGAGAATCTTGAATCACTAATGAAAGAATTAATAGGGCAATTCTTTGATTGACAAATATTTAATGATGAAACCAGCATTTGTTAAGTGCCATTGGACTCATGAAAAGGGCCTAGTTTCTCTAAATTTAGAATTTCTGTCACAATATTCTTAGTGAAAAATCATTCAGTATAGCGCTTTCTTCATTTTTATAAAGGGTGACAAAATTAACAAGCCGTGTAATTAAAGTTGTTTGCTAATGCTTCTAACTTCTCATCTCATTTTCCTATTCTGGCTATCTAGATCATAAACATATCTTCTGATCATTATTTTTTTCCAAGAGGACTGTTTTCCTACAAATACAATGGGAGGCAATTAAAAAACAGGATGTAACATAGAAACTTTAATCTTGCAGCCAATTTTGAAAAGTATTTACTATATTATTTATAAATGCAGAACTGAAGCTAATGGAACAGCCTCAATCTAAGATTAGTGAGGCAGATAAGCATGGACAAACATAAAAAATTTTTTGTTTTCCCCTATTTTTTCCTTAAAGAAATAATAAAAAATATCCACGAAAACCAAGTTCCGAATATGATCTACAGAGATACAAAACTGATACTTTTGAGAAGACAAACTGGCTTTCCTGCATCTTCCTATAATCCATTTTCACCAATACAGCTACACTGATCTAGTTAAAATCTGTCCAGTCAGATCACTCCTTTGCTCAAAACTTTTAATGATTCTCTACTTCATTCAGAATGACAAACACAACCCTTAGAATAGTCTTCATAGGGTCTTTCACAATTTGCCTCCATTTCCACTTCCAGCTCCAAACATTTCCAACCTCATCTCCTCTATCCTTTCTCTAGTCCCCCAGTCACTGCGAGGTTCCTTGGGGGCTTCTAGAATATGTCAGATAACTTCGAGCCCTAGGGCCTTCGTAAGCGTGGCCTGCAACACTCTTTCCAGATACTAACTTGACTCCTTCTTTTAACTTCCACAAATCTTGATCATGTCAGCCCTCTTCTCAGCAAGGCTGTCCCTGACCACATTTCTAACAACTACAACTCCCATCCCACTCCTGCTCATTTTTCAGGATTTCTGCTAGACTTCCTAAGACATTTATGAGATTAAAGAATATCTTGGATATTTGCCCCTTACCGATTCAACTAATGATCTTGCTTCTTCTTGAGTGCAATGGAAAGGACTATCGCATACCTGAACATTTGTGCTAGAGAAAAAAGGAGAGTATTATTAAACAGGATTAAAAAAGGACAATTACAAAAAAGGAAAAAAAACCCAACTCCAAATACTCCATATTGGCTATATAATTTCAGCCAATGAAGAAGGAAGTAAGTATAAATTAGGACAACTGAAAATTATTATACATTCTTTCAGGGAAGGTTACAAATATATAGTACTCCACAGCATTATACTCCCTGGTATATGTAAAAAGCAACACCCAACTTACTTTACCTTTATTAAAGAAAAGAGGAACCAAACTGGACCTACAGAATGAGACTATAGGAAGATATTTTCTCTAAGTGAGGAGACAGACACTGTAATCGACTACTGAAAGATGCGGAATGTCTTTCTCAGACAGATGTGAAAGAGTAAAGAGGAAACTATATAAATATGGAAACCTTGTTTTCACATAAGTAGGGCAGTTGAGCAAGGCATAAGAGTAGCAGCTCCTTTCCTGGCTGGTGAAGGCTCTGTCAAGTCCAATGCCTTCCCTGCACTTGCACAGCCTGCCCCCACTGTGTGCTGCCTCCTTCCCAGACGAAAGCAGAGGCATCCTTCCTCTCAAACACATGAAGACTGATTTTTAAAATCTCATCAAAGAAACTGGTACAATAAAATGGATACAGAAAGAGGTAGTAAAAAAGGGAGTTAAAGCCAAATGAATTTTTTTTAGAAGGGTGATTATCAGATCCTTAAAAGAGACAAATAATGGGTAAAATACATTATATAATATTCCTCCTCAAGTAATCTAAGAGATATACATTATCAAATTTATTTTTATAATAGCTTTGTGAAATATGCTGAGACATCTGTGATAAAAAGATCTGTCTACCTCTCTCTGTAGTTAGCAACACTGAGTATACAGTGATTATGGTAAGTGGCCGTTTCGGTCTCATCTAGATTAATAATGTGGAATTTATTTTCATTGTTTGCATGGATAAAATCTTATAAAAGTTAGCATTATCACCTATAAGACTATAATTTTGTATTCTTTTTTCCAGTTTGTACTTTCTGTAAGATAAAAATTGAAAAAGGCAGAGCTTTGTATGTTACATATTTCCCTAATTAAGGTCAAAAATAAATTTAAAAGACCTAAGCAAAACATTAGATATTACGAAGTCTTTACACGTTTATTTCTCCAACAAGCTCTTATAATAGTATTTTATACTTTTTTTTTTTTTTTTTGAGACAAGAGTCTTATTCTGTTGCCCTCAGTAGAGTGCCATGGTATTATAGCTCACGGCAACCTCAAACTCTTGGGCTCAAGCGATTCGCTTGCCTTAGCCTCCCTATTAGCTGGGACTGCAGGCGCCTGCCACAATACCTGGCTAATTTTGTCTGTTTGTTTTAGCAGACTCAGGCCAGGTGTATATGGCCGGTGCCCTACCCACTGAGCAACAGGCACCACCCTATAAAAAGATTTTTAAAAAAAGAACATAAAGAAATCTGTAAAGGTTTTTAAGTTATAAAGACTTAAGGATCTTTAAAGACGTTAAAGACTATAGGATCTTTTTCTATTATATATTAAAATGTACAGACAAAATCTATATGAAATTTATATAGAAAAGGGCTCAGTCTTTATCTAAAGATGAATGAATGATAAACATGTAAATGTTTTAATCCAAAATGAAATGTTTGAGTTATGTTACTATTGTTTGATTTCTTTTAACCAGTAGTGATCCAGATCATGTTGGATAAGAAAGCTTTTACTGTTCTTATCATGAAATAAATAACCATATATTTACAAGTTTAAGTTCCTTTAAATCCCATCTTTGCACACATCACGTTATATAACAATTAAATGCCTGTTTATCTGTCAGTACCCCACTAAACCATAAATACCTCGAGAAAAAGGATCACATCAATTCCTAGCTTTACAGTGCCCAATACTCAGTAATGCCAACTGAAAAGGGGTTCCATTGGTAAAAAAAAGTTACAAATCCCTTTAAAAAAAATCTGTAATCTCAATAGTATAATATGGCAGCTAGCACTAATTAATAAAAAACAACATTACTTAACACAGAAATTTATCTTAAGACAGACAAATGCTTACCAATTTATAGACCCTCCATTACACTTCTTCATAAGCAAAGCTTTCCAACATTCATGAGCGGATTCAATAACTTCAAGAGCAAAAGCCTGGTTTCAAACAAAAAAAGACAGAGCAATCATAGTATTAATATACTACTAGAACTAAACTCATTATGACAGTTTAATTGTTAAGACCATCAGTTCTAGAGTCAAGCAAACCTCCATGTAAATTCTGGCTTTCTTATTTAGCGAGTGTGTGACAGTGGGTAAGTTACTTCACCACACTAAACCTCGATTCTTTCATCTATGAAGTGGGATAAAATGGGGATGATCTCTATCAGGGACTGGCAAACTAGGACCTGTGGGTAAAACCCAGCCTAGCGTCTGTTTAGGTAAATAAAGTTTTATTGAACAGTCATGTCTGTTTATGTTTGACCTATAGCTGCTTCAGGGCTACAACAGCAGAGTTGAGTAGTTGTGATAGAAACCCTACAAAGCCTAAAATATATCCTATGTGGCCTTTAAAGAAAAAAAGTCTGCTATCCCTATTTAAATCAGAATAGATGAAAAAAATGCCTAAGATGATGTACGTAAAGTGTTTAATTAAGTTGCTATGTACCTATTATTTTTTTTAATCACTAGCAAAACTGCAAGTATTCTAATTACAAAGTAATTTTAGACTACCCACTGTCTGAAAGTAATAAACTTCCCTTAAAGCTTTTTCTTCATACTAATTGATATGGTGAGTAAAAATGGGTAATCAACAATAGAGACAAACACCTCTTGCTAGATATATGAACATCTGATAAGACCATCTCAGAAAAACTTATTTTTCTTCTAAAGCAGAAAATTCTTAGATTTTTCCTTAAGAAAAGGTCCATACTAGTTCCTTTCTCCTTCAATGACAAGTAAACATATCATGATAATGAAGAAATTAAAGAATCTTGGGAACTGAGATATGATAATAGTGGCAAATTTAACTTGTGAAAAGTTCTCTCAGGTTGCTTGAGATGAAGCAAGATGGCTTAATTCTCAATGAGATGGTGTTGGGAGTCTCACTTAAGATACAGGACAAGAAATCAAATTTGTTATCTGGATAATACATGGAAAGATTTTCAAGCAAATTATTCAGACAATTATGATTATTTACAACCAATTCTAGGACTTGCTTAAAGGAATGGCAGGGAAAACCTAGACTAAAAGGTAAGAGCCTTCCTTCTGACCATGGTAAAGCAATGTGATGTGATTCTCTTAGGTTAGGCTCTGCTATAGTTTGGATGTTAGTTCCCTCAAATCTCATGTTGAAATGTGATCCCCACTGTTGGAGGCGGGGCCCAACGGGAGGTATCTGGGTCATGGGGGAAGATCTCTCATGAACAGATTAATGCCTTCACCCAAAGGTGAGTGAGTTCTCACTCTATTAAGTTTCTGAGAAAGCTAGGTATTGAGAAAAGCCTGGCACTTGCCCTTCTCTTTTACTATGGTTTCTCTCTTGCCATGTGATCTCCCCACACACTAACTTCCCTTCACCTCCCCCCTCCCCGAGTAGAGGAGCCTGGGGAGCCCACCATAAGCAGATGCTGGTGCTGCGCTTATACAGCCTGCAGAACTATGAACCAAATACACCTTTTTTTTTTAAAATAAATTAGGCTGGTCATGGTGGCTCACGTCTGTAATCCCAGCACTTGGGAGGCCACGGAGGGTGGACTGCGTGAGTTCACAGGTTTGAGACCAGCCTGAGCCAGAGCAAGACCCCATCTCCAAAAATAGCCTGGCATTGTGGCAGGCACCTGTAGTCCCAGCTACTTGGGAGGCTGAGGGAAAAGAATCACT